AATTGCTATCAAATAGCGTGAAAGGACTCTTCCATCATTTCCGCAGACTTCATTGTCTTATTTTAAGAAATTTCCACAGCCACTCCAGCCTTCAGCAACTACTACCCTGATCAGTCAGCAGCTATCAACATCAAGGCAAGACCCTCCACCGGCAAAAGGACTGACACACCGAAAGCTCAGACGGGTTAGCATTTTTTTAACAATAAAGAATTTTTTTTTTCACAAAAGTATGTACTTTTTCTTAGTGTTATTGCACACTTAATAGACTGCAGTATAGCATAAACATAATTTTTACATGCACTAGGAAGCCAAAAAATTCATTTGGCTCACTTTATTACGGTATTTGCTTTATTGCAATGGTCTGGAACTGAACGTACAATATCTCCAAGATATGCCTGTAATTTTTCTTTTAAGTTTTCTTTTTATTTATTTACTTAAGTATATCTCTACACCCAACCTGGGGCTTGAAATCACAACCCTGAGATCAAGAGTCGCATGCCCTTCCAACTGAGCCAGCCAGGCACCCCTGGTATGCCTGTACTTCTTGTGTCTGAATTTGCCTCTTGTAGGTATTTCATGTAAGTGGAGTTGTACCATAGTGGTGTCTGGCTTATTTCATTCACTTAGAATAATGTTTTCAAGTTTTATCCATGTTGTAGCATGTTATCAGAATTTTTTTTCTTTTCATGGCTGAATAATATTCTTCAAATGTACATTTTGTTTAAACATTTATCTGTTGATTTCACATGAGCTTTTTTTCCACTTCTTGGCTTTTGTGAATAATGCTGCCATGAACATGGGTGTGCAAGCATCTGTTTGGGTCCTTTTTTTCAGTTCTTTGAGTTTATATACATAGGAGTTGGAATTGTTGGGTCATTTAGTAATTCTATGTTTACCTTTTTGAGGAACCATCCAATGATTGTCCATGGCAACTGCAGCATTTTACATTCCCAGCAGTAATGTATGAGAGTTCTAATTTCTCATCCTCGCCAACACTATTTTCCTTTTTTAAAAAAATTATACTCATTTTAATACTTATGACATGGTAGCTCATTGTGGTTTTGATTTGCATTTCCCTAGTGAGTAGGATATTGAGCATCTTTAAATGTGCTTTTTGGCCATTTGTATATCTGGTTTGGAGAAGAGTCTGTTCAAGTCCTTTGCCCATTTTTAAACTGTTGTTGCTGAGTTGGGTTGTTTTAAGCTATAGTTCTGTACATATTCATTTTTTTTTAAGATTTATTTTAGAGCGCATACGAGTAGGGAGGAGGGGGAGGGGCAGAGGGAGAGGGAGAGAATCCCAAGCAGACTCCCTGCTGAACATGGAGCCCGATGAGAGGCTCAATCTCATGACCACGACATCATGACCTGAGCTGAAATCAAGAGCCAGACGCTTAACCGAGTCACCGAGGCGCTCCTCTTTATATATTCTAGATATTAGACACATATGAGGTATATGACTTGTAGTTATTTTTTCCATTCTGTGGGTTGTCTTTTACTTTCTTGATGGTGTCCTTTTAATACATAAAATTGCTCATTTTAATGACATCCAACCTATCTTTTTTTTTTTTACTTCTGGTCTTGGTGGCATATTTAAGAAACTGCCAAATTTGAGGTCATGAATATTTTTCCCCTATTTAAGAGTTTTATTGTTTTAATGCTTACATTTAGGTAATCCGTCTTAATTTTTGGTTCATCTTGGGTTTTTTTTTTAAAGATTTTATTTATTTGACAGAGAGATAGAGAGCACAAATAGGCAGAGGGAGAGGGAGAAGCAGGCTCTCCGCTGAGCGGGGAGCTGGATGTGGGGCTCGATCCCAGGACCCCAGGATCATGACCCGAGCCAAAGGTAGCCGCTTAACCAACTGAGCCACCCAGGCACCCCGGGTTAATTTTCGTATGTGGTGTAAAGTAACTTCATTCTTTTGCATGTGAATGTCTAGTTTTCCCAACACTGTTTGTTAAAAAGACTGTCCTTTTCTCAAAATGGTCTTGGCACCCTTGTTACAAATCAGTTGGCCATAAATGTGAGAGTTTATTTTGGGGCTCTTGATTCTGTTTTATTGGTCTACATTTCTTTTTCTGCCAGTACAACAATGTTTTGATTACTTGTAGCTTTGTAAGTTTCGAAATCAAGAAGTGAGTCCTCCAACTTTGTTCTTTTTCATGATTGTTTTGGCTGTTCAGGGTCCCTTGAAATTCCATTTAAATTTTAAGATGGGGTTTTTCTATTTCTCAGGAAATATGCCATTAGGATTGTGATAAGAATTGCATTGAATCTGTAGATTCTTTTTTTTTTTTTAAGATTTTTTATTTATTTATTCATGAGAGAGAGGTAGAGGGAGAAGCAGGCTCCCCAAGGAGCAGGGAGCCCGATGCAGGACTCGATCCCAGGACCCCAGGATCATGACCTGAGCCGAAGGCAGATGCCCAACCATCTGAGCCACCCAGGCACCCTGAATCTGTAGATTCTTTGTGAGTACTGGGATTTCCAGTCCATGAATACAGGATAGTTTTAATTTCTTTTAGCAATGTTTTGTAGTTTTTCAGTGTACAAGTCTTGTGCCTCCTTAAATTCATTCCTAAGTATTTTATTCTTTTTGATGTTATTGTAGGTGGAATTATTTTCTAAATTTCTTTTTTGAGTTTTTCATTTGCTAGTGTGTAGAAATAGAAATGATTTTTGTGTTGATTTTGTATCCTATAATTTTGCTGACTTTTATTTTTTTTGTGGATTCTTTAAGGTTTTCTACATATAAGACCATGTCATCTGAATAGAGATAGCTTTACTTTATTACTTGAATTTGTTTTTTTTGCCTAATTACTTTGGTTAGGACTTTCAGTCCTGTTGTTGAAGTAGAATTGGCAACATGTTCTTTATGTTAGGGAAAACACTTTCAGTCTTTCACCATTGAGTATGGTGTTAGTTGCAGCTGAAAGAATAAATGATAATTTGTTTCTTCTCTTCCTCCTCACCTACCCCTATTTCAATATAGAATGATTGGTAGACCTTAAGATTTAAAAGATCAGAGGACCACTTTTCAAACCCATTCTCCCCCCACCCCCTCCCCTAATTCAACCTCAGTAATTCTGTTTCCTTAAATATCTTTTTAAAGCAGATTATATATATACACATATATATATATAAAATATACATAATATGTTTTGATGTATCATATTTAAGGCTAGATGACAAGACTTATTTTCCAACTTGTACCCATATAGAGAAGTAAAATTTGGATCATCCCAAGTAAATGGAAGTAAACCAACCCACTTGCCTCCTCACACCTTTTATCACAAAGTATTTATTGAACAAAAATAATAAAATTGATACATATATGAACGTGAATGAAGATATGCACCATAGAAAAGATGTGTACAAAGAGAACAACTTTTAGGTTATAGTTCTATAAAACCTTAGCCATAGCAGATTAACACTGATGAAGCAGACATATAAAAAGGAAAAAAAGTTATTTAATATGTCCTTTGAAACCTATTTTCTGACTAAAATTGTTAAAATACACATGCACACATAGAATGAGGCAGGGCTGTAAGAGTTATACTTCAATACCTCCAGTTCTGTATTTGTGTCCTAGTGAGTTTTTTGATCCATAAAATGTATGGCGTTTTTCCATTTCTAAAAATGGAGCTAGAATGTATGTCAATCATAGTATTTCAAGGAAGGAAGTACAAGAATCGGATTTATAGTCATTAGAGTATTTCCAATCAGCATATACATTTAAAAATATTTTGGGTTGAGATTTTTGTACATTGATTAACTTCCTTTGGTTTATGTGGTTTTTTTCTACCTAACAGATTTGGGCCAGTAGTTACTTATAGTTAGGCATGGGAAAACAGAACTGGACTGAGCACCAATCATTGTTCTACCTTTAATGAGCTGTGTGACCTTAGGCAACTCCCAGTTGCTTCTGTGTAATTGCCGTATCTGGAAACTGTGGTAAGAAGCATACTCAAAGGCCCCCTCTACCTTTAACATTTCATATTTGGTAAATATCAGTTCCCTGTACCAGCTATTTTATTTTAGTACAGAATTATCCTCAGCTTACGTGAAAGTGACAGTAGTGTCTGGATTTTGGAATTTACTTTATATCCAAAAGTGTATATTAGAGATTTGTACCTCCCCATACACAGAGACAATTCCAATGGAAAATCTCAAGATTTTAAGCATTATAACAAAGTTTTAGATTCTTTGAAAATTCAAGAGATGTTGCTTTTACAAGCTTTATTTTTTACCCCTTTCTTTTTCATAACCTTCCTATTTAACACCTAATGTGGAATCAGTTATTTGGCATTTCAAATTGGTTTGTTACTTACAGTTAAGGATGATAATCTGATCTTGAAAGCACTGGGCACTTTCCAGTTCTCTTCACATTAGAACTTTGCCACTTCATGTACAGAACAATGCCTTAGAGTGGCCCCTGCTGTTTCTGTTACCACTGCTTTACACTACACAGAAGAGTTTACTGCTGAGCGCTCCAGATGTAGTAGTTCAGTTCCACAGTGAGGTTCCTGAAGAGTTATATATTTCTTATATCCAATTTCCTTCATTCTCACCATAAACGTAGTTAATACATAAAGCAGTGTATCCTACCTGTGTCCACAAACAAGGCTATGCCTTTACACCTGAAGATACCTGATGTTACAGAATTGTTGTTTTCATCAACCAGTCTGTGAGCCTCTTCCTAACCATAGGATGTTTAAATGTTAATTATAGTTCTAGGGGTTTAGTGAAACCCTAACTAACTCATGATGATCTAGGAAATGTATTAGGGATGTGATTCGCTATGGAAAACTGGGAGAACTACAGCTAATTTTTTGAAATAAGAATATGCTTACATAGGAGATATTCCAAGGGAATGGGTAGAGTGAACTTGATGTAGATTTCCATCTCAGGTTTTTGTTTGGGAGGAGTCTAAAAGATTGTAAACAGCTAGGTGGCTAGCCTTTCAAACTTCATTTTTTAAAAAATGCACTTTAGAACATTTTCTTTTGTGAATGTTTATTTTCTAAATATGGCTTAGTTTCTTTTATAAAAACACGAAATTGGACATTTACTGAACGTCAGTTCAAAAGAGGTTCTAAGGCAATTCTTATACAATTGAAAGCGAAAAAAAATATGAATAAGCTTTCATTTTGCCTACTTGTGAAAAATAATGATTCTACTAGAGAGCTGTTTGATACTAATTTTTGTCTTCCAAACATTTTCTCTTAATACTAAAAAATATATAAACCATTTACATAAAACTAAATGCAAAGGAAGGCACAGCTGGTTATAGTGTCTATAAGCATAGTTCAGCATATGCGGAATTAGAAAGAAAAAAAGCTTCACATCCTTATTAGTTACACTGAAAACCATTAAGAAAAGTTCTTCACTGTCAACAGTGTTCAACACTTAAGAGCTAAGAGGATATAAAAAAAAATTAAAAAATCACTTAATGCCAAACAGATCTTCATATATACTTGAATATAAAAAAAGGTTTTAAAAATGCTAACATAAATCTAGACCATCCATGTTATGAAAAGTGCAAACCAAATTAACAGGGTTTCACAACGTCCTTCTCATGACACAGGTAAACTAGCCCATGGGGACAAATTTATTTCATCAGTTAATAAGTCTTTAACTGTGGCCAGATGTCATCAGGATTTCTGAGAGTTCGAAGAAAGCAGTACTGGAGAAGCAGCTCTATCCAGACTGGGGATTGGCACTGGCATGTGGCCGTTAAGCAGTGTTGGAAACTGTAGGGGACAGAAGATTTTTAAAATAATTATTGCAGACCCATTGGGACAAACTTGAATTCTTTACATTCCTAGACAGACCATAGTGGATCACCCTTGGGACAGAGGGGTTGCAAATTATTTTACAGAATGAGATCAAGGTTACGTATAGCAAACAAGGGAGAAGGCCCAGAAAATGTCCCTATTTTATATGCCTAGCCACTAGAAAAAAATGTACCTATGGTGCTAAAGCATGTTCAAATACTCCTTTTAAAAGGTTCCAAGCTACTTAGAATGCTGATTTGCTTTAAAGTAATTTTGAAAACCACAGACAACTTACTCTACTGATTCACATGTAAAATTTCTAATACTGTATTTTGAAAATGGCCAGTTGTTTTTCCAGAGTATAAAAAATGCTTCTTAGTAACTGCTAAAAATGAAGAATGTTTTAGCTTAAAAGATTTAGAAAGCAAGAATATATCTTGGAGCTGAGGAAATATTTTTTTTAATTACAATGATAATACCAAACTTAATAGATCACCTTTAAGTGACAAAACAAAGAGTAAAGTTAATTTCTGTAGTGTGGGTAAATAAGATGATAAATGGGATAAAAGTATATGCTTTGATAACTTTCAGGTCTAAAAGAAATACCACACTATACTCCCAACTCAACAAGAATAATTAAAGGCCTCCTTTTAATACATTACTATTCACAACTAGATTTTTGTTGTCTAGATTGGTATGTGTCAAAATGATCTCCTGGGCTATCTTCCAGTTTGATTTCTATTTAGATAAGTTAATATTAAATTTCAACACTAAATATCAAACTACAGAGCCTAGCACAAGTTAGAAGTACAATAAATAGAGAATATATTTTTTCAATTTTCAAACTGTTTCAGTAACTGTTATGTGTAGTGCCTTACAGTTTATCAGTGGTTGTCATTTCAGTTGGTATCTAGAAGCCTGTAAAGTAAGTTTGGTTATCCCCATTTTATAGAAAACAGAATTCAAATAAGTTCTGATTGGTTAAAGACTAATAGGCAATAAAGCCAAGTTTTAAACTCTGAAAGATCCTGCACTTTTTGTACCAAACTGCCCAACTTATTTTTGGCAGGGCTTGGTGTGAGTGTGCTCTTTAAATACTATTTCAGTTTCTTTAATGGTCATTGGCATATTCAAGGTTTTTGTTTCTTTTCTGACACTTTGGAACTTGAGTTGTTTGTAGAATTTTATCCATTTCAACTGGGTTATCAAATCTATTTGCATATAGTTTATTAAGATCCACGCTCCTAACTACTATTCCCGTTGACTTAAGAGTGAACACAGAATGAAGAGCAGGTTTTGAATTTTCATTCTCTTAGCTTATTTGCAATCTTTTCTCATTTTGTTTTTTGACCATCTTATTGGTGTTTTCAAAAGAAGCAGCTTTTGGTTTTGTTAATCTTCCTGTAAAAAGTATATTACTGATTTCTGCCCTCTGCTCTTTATTTCTATACACTCAGTTGTAGTTTCTCTTGCCTGGCTTTTCTGGCCTGTTTCATCTTTATTGACTCCCCACCTCCACTCGCTTAAGTTGCAACATTCCCCCCAAAGTTTTGTTTTCAGCCTTCCTTTCTCCTATACTCAACAATCCTTTCCTGCTGTTAGCTAGACGTCCCCATCAGTGCGTCTTCACCAAAAACCTGCTATTCCGTGTTCACTCTTAAGTCGGTGAGAGTGGTGATATGAGCAGGACCCTAAACTTCAGTCAGGGCTCTGCCACTTACGAACGTGTGGTCTGGGGTAAACTGAGCAACATCTCTGGGCCTTAGTTTCCTTATCTTTTCAAAAAGAACTACTGGGAGTACAGTTGACTCTTGAGCAACACAGGTGTGCAGATTTTTTTCAATAAACACAGTATAATAGTACAAATATATTTCCCTTGCAATTTTCTTTAACCTAGCTTACTTTATTATAAGAATACAGCATAATAATACATATAACATGCAAAATGTGTTAATCAACTGTTATCAGAAAGGTTTCTGGTCAACATTAGGCTATTAGTAATTAAGTTTTTAAAGAGTCAAAAGTTATACATGGATTTTCAACTGTAAGGGGGAGGTCAGCACCCCGAATCCCCACTTTGTTCAAGGGTCAACTGTATTAAATGAGAAGCCATGAAAAGTGCTTTGAACGACGTCTAGCATACAGTAGCCCTCAATAAATGTTAACTTCTTACTTAAGCATTTCTAGTCTTTTAATCACATAAGTAATCTTTGCCTCTTCCTAATTTTCACTACCTCTTATTCCTCAAAACCAACTAAAAGTCTCTCAATTTTACCTCTGGAATGTCTTCTAAATATATTCCTATTTCTACTATTCTAAAAGATTATTTTTCCCTCAGTATTTGCAGTAGTATAAATATTCCTCCTATCTTCCTGCACCTTATACTTTCTGCTTTCTCTTCAGTCCTTCCTCCACACTGGTATCAGCAATATCTTCCTAAAATAGAGATTTTAGGGGTGCTCAGTGGCTCAGTCGGTTAAGCATCTGCTTTCTGCTCAGGTCATGATCCCAAGGTGTGTCAGGCTCCCTGCTCAGTGGGGAATCTGCTTCTTCCTCTCTCAAATAAATTAAAAATCTAAAAAAATAGTATAATTAAATCTGTTCTTTTATATCCAGCTTAGAAAACCTTCCATGGTTATCAAGAGACTAAGGTGGAAAACCCTGAGCATAGCATTCAAGGCCTACACAGCTGTTCTTCTAATCATCCAGTCCCTTCCTGGACAGACTATGTACTTGCATATCCAAATCATGGAGATTATCTAGAAGGTGCTTTTCTCTCTGCCAAAATCCTGCCCTTTCTTTCCAGCTCAGGTGCCACTTCTTCCGGCAGAGCCTTCATCTAGTCCCTAGCTAGAAAGCTATTCCCTGTTGGGTTCCTATAACCTTTTGTTTAAATATCTATTATTCCCATAGTGCATATTCCCCTACAGTCCCTGATAACAGAGCATTGCAAATATTTTCTGGGTTAGATTCGTTGGATTAAAACATTCAGAAAACATCCTCAATTGAAAACTTAATTCTGGGTGCCTCAGTCGGTTGGGCATCTGCCTTCAGCTCAGGTCATGATCCTAGGGTCCTGGGATTGAGCCCCACGGAGAGCTCCCCGCTCAGTGGGGAGCCTGCTTCTCCCTCTGCCATTCACCCTGCTTGTGCTCTCTGGCTCTCTCTCTGTCAAGTAAATAAAATCTTAAAAAAAAAACCAAAAACTTAATCCTGCCTTGTTTCAAGATATTATCTGTACCTATGCCAAATTTGGTGAAAATCTGTTTCAGAAGTGGAACAGACACCCTGTAGATAAGCTCAAAATGCCAAACTGTTCAGACCCATCTCATTTTATTTTTAAATATACCTCTTCCAGAAAGGCGCTAATATCTTCTCTCTCCTTCCCTTAAATTCTTCAATATCTGCTGTAAGTTGCCACAGTAATTACATCAGTGGACCTTCTGTGCAAAAAGTCCTCAGCTCTGTCAACTGTTACCGAAAGGATTCTGATCTACTTTTCAATCCTGACAACAGGAAATTTGCCAGCATCATTTAAAACTTACTGTAGCCCAAATGTATTTCTTTTCTTCCTCCATGTCTAGTATATATGAAAGGTTTATTTTTAAAGAAAATTATTAGTTCAAAAGGGGCACTGCTGATAATCTGAATTTTGAATATTCCTCTTACCATGTTTTATTTACTATTTTCAAAACTGCTAGTTTCAACTATCATAACTGCTCTTACGTAGGAAGAGTAATGTTTTAAAAGGTACAAAGTTGTTTTTCCTTAGTTTCATGGACCCTAGTCAGAGAAAGAGGGCACAAGGCCCTGCCAACAACGATCTAAACATGATTGTTTTCCCCATTCCTACTTTCCGTTTGTGGTTTTTGTTGTTGTTTTTGGATGGTTCTGGTAGAGAGGACAGGTACATTGTGAAATTAAAATTGAGTAGGTGGGGCGCCTGGGTGGCTCAGTTGGTTAGGCGACTGCCTTCGGCTGAGGTCATGATCCTGGAGTCCCTGGATCGAGTCCCGCATCGGGCTCCCTGATCAGCGAGGAGCCTGCTTCTCCCTCTGGCCCTCTCCTCTCTCATGTACTCTCTCTCTCTCATTCTCACTCTCTCAAATAAACAAATAAATCTTAAAAAAAAAAAAAATTGAGTAGGTGGCCTTTAAATGCAGCAATTTCTTCTGAAGAATTCTAGTTATAAATTAGGAACCACTGGTCTGCTGTGGTTCTCAAAGTAGATTCCTGGAGTAACAGCATCACTAGGATCTTGAAGAAATGTTATAATCAGGCCCCGTCCCACACCTTCTAAATCAGAAACTCTGGGGTTGGGGCCCAGCAAAATCTTTTAACATACCGTCCAAGCTGATTCTGTTGCACATTACCTTTGAGAGCCACTGGTCTACAGTAGTGACTGAAGAAAAAAGGGTATGTGTGTCCAACACCCAGAGCTCCGAGTATCCTGCTAATGTGTACAATCACTATGGACACGAACCATTACTGTGAGGAGTGACAGGCTGGAAAAGGTTTAGTATCCACGGCAAGGGATCCCAAAGAACTCCCTAACAGCAGTTTTCCATGGCTTACTTCAGAGATCACCAAGCCTTGTACCAATCAGGTGGCAGAATTCCCAGTGAGGAGGGAAGTGAGATTCCATTCTTTTTTTTTTTTTTAAAGATTTTATTTATTTGTTTGACAAAGAGAGAGAGAGAGTGAGAGATAGTGAGAGCAGGAACACAAGCAGGGGGAGTGGGAGAGGGAGGAGCAGGCTTCCCGCTGAGCAGCGAGCCCGATGCGGGGCTCAATCCCAGGACCCCGGGATCATGACCTGAGCCGAAGGCAGACGCTTAACGACTGAGCCACCCAGGCGCCCGAGATTCCATTCTTTATTCACAAATACCTAGTGAACGCTCCAGAGACCGTGTTAGATTCTAGGACTAAAGTAATAGTGCAGTCCCTGTGCCCATGGAGCTTACCGTACACAAGGCACCAAACAACTGCTCTCCTCAGGAGCTCTAATACTACAATACTGCTGCTCCATTGTGAATACTCTGAGGAAATAAGGTCTTTCAGCTCTCCACCAAAAGAGGACTAACCTAAAACTTTTCCTAGTACTACATTTGCTCACTGCTTCTAGTTTTTACTTCCCTGCCGGAGTTTAAGGGCTGAGAATCAACATGTTGGCTGTGCATGACCACAGCTCAATTTTCTTGTGATGAGAAGATGGGCCAGAAGAGAAACCTGATTACCTAGGGATATACAGTCACATCATGACAACCCTACCTCAACCTTACTAGGAACCAGAGAAGCAAGATAGCAATCAAAACCTCTTTAGCTCTACCCTTCTTCCGAGACCCTAAATCCCAGCATGTATAGCTCCTGGCACAGAGTTCAATACCAACCTTTACAAGCAAAATGACCAACTCAAAAAAGCACAGAGACCTGATCTTTTTAACACTTAGGTTCTTAAATATTTCTCAATTGTCTTTTTCTTTTTAAAGTAACCTCTACAACAAACATGGGGTCGAACTCATGACCCTGTGATCAAGAGTCACGTGCTCTCAGGGGCGCCTGGGTGGCTCAGTCGTTAAGCGTCTGCCTTCGGCTCAGGTCATGATCCTGGGGTCCTGGGATCAAGCCCCACATCAGGCTCCCTGCTAGGCGGGAGGCCTGCTACTCCCTCTCCCACTCCCCCTGCCTGTGTTTCCTCTCTCGCTGTGTCTCTCTCTGTCAAATAAATAAAATCTTTCAAAAAAAAAAAAAAAAGTCACGTGCTCTACAAACTGAGCCAGCCAGGTGCCCCAATTCCTTGGTGAATTCTTAGGTACCCACTCATTTAGTCAGTGATAATTACTAAGCATTATTTGTATGCCAAGCAATGTGGCCAGACATGGGGTGGGGGAATGGGCACCACAGTAAAGAGGCCAGTAGTTCTGGCCTCTTGAGGACCCACAGTCTAGTGGAGGAGACTGCCAGGTGAATAGGCCATCATAATACAAAGTGGTCGGTGCTAGATGCAACAAGAACAAAAGAACAACTAGCTTGGGTGAGCCACACTGGAGGGCAGGCATGGGATTCAGGGTAGATGAGACATGCTAGAGTTAGAGGGGGTTTTCACTTGCCCCAGTTTTGCTTCACTCCTGCCCCTAGGACCCTTTCTATTTTTCTCTTAGTAACATCTTTGTGAGGAACAGTCTTCACGTCTCAAAGAAGAAATACTGATTACCACATGATCGCAAGCAGTGCTACTGCAAGATTCTAGCGTGTGAATGAATAATAAATGTGCCTACCTAGTAACAGGAGTTGTGCAAGATAAAGCAGCTAAGACTTAGTTTTTAACCAAATGCCCTGGACACTCCTTTCTTATTATGGAACAAAGAGAACTTGATTATGATTCATAGGATTATACAGATAACTTTGTATCTGTATGTATCTGTAGTGAAGAATGTGTGGACATTCTTCACTATTTTTGTTTTTCAGTTTATTTCAAGTGACGTCAATATGTTGCCTAATTTTTTAAAGTCCCTTTTCCTTAATAACTTTCCAGTTTTCATAGTCAATGAAGATAGCCAAGCACTTCGAGAATTAATTGTTCCATTTGTTGATATCTGACATGAATATGCCATTTCTGCCTTGATGAAAATGTCTGCCTCTGAAGGCTGGGTTTTGCAGCACCATTAACTCCCTTTGGAAACTTAATATTTTAACCAAATGTAGGGTAGAACTCTGTTACCTCTGCAGTATTTATTGGGGAAACACACCCCTTAGAAGCTCAGTGTTTAAACATTCATTTCTAAATGCTCACCTGGAACAGCGTGTTTGGCCCTTGCAACCGGGCAGGACTCAGTGGAGCAACTGGACTAAGGCTGCTCCAGAAATGTATGCTGGATAGCAGTGGACTCGGGGTCAGAAGCAATCCATTTGGTGTCTGGGAAAGAAAGCACATACACAGATTTTGATAAAGATATCACCTGATTCTGGCCACGATCAGCAGTGTGTCTAGGTACACCAGCCATGAACCAAGAAACAAGCCTTACCATCTTAGTAAAATCTGACAACTATGTAATTTCTGCAAGGCTGTGCACAGTTTAACTTTCTTCAGTGCTGATTGTATTGTATTAGCAATTTTATAAAGGAGAAAAGTATGGACAAGTTACCTTCCCTAAACATTCTAAACATTGTAAAACTCAAGTTTACAGCAACATTCGTCCAGGTGGTTTTTTCAATTTGTTTTCCTTCCCACATTAAACAAGATTTAGTGTACAAAATGGGATTCCATGAAGGGGCTATATTTTTTTTTATCAATATTTTATTTTCCTACACTGGATATCCATTACAAACACACATTTTTTTAAAGGGCCTCTCAAGCTTCACTTTCATGGTTATCAATGGCCCTTTAAGATTTTAGGATCTGGGGGTGCCTGGGTGGCTCAGCTGGTTAAGCAACTGCCTTTGGCTCAGATCATGATCCTGGAGTCCCAGGATCAAGTCAGGAAGTCTGCTTCTCCCTCTGACCCTCCCCCCTCTCATGCTCTCTCTCTCATTCTCTCTCTCAAATAAATAAAATCTTTAAAAAAAAAAAAAGATTTTAGTATCTGTTGTTAAAATACTCTGTAGCAGCTTCTTCAAAAGTTCTGAACAGGGTTTTCCAGATTCCACTCCGGATATGGGGCTGATGAGAATTCATCTCCCTGGCAATGGTTTGGAGGGGGGAAAAAATTCTTTCTTGTTAGATTGGGTGTAAAGCCAAAACTCTGTGTTTCCCAGGAGAGTGCCAAGGACTGCATTTGCTTGCACACACACAGCAGGAATCCTGGCCTGCAAGCTAGCTAGAGGACAGAAGAAACAACTCGCCCCAGCTGGTATGTCTGCAAGACTTTTATTCTCAGCTGAGGCAAACTCCCTGGCCCATGGTGGTTTTGCACCTTTGCTGACTAGAAGGAGCCCCACAGTGGTTTTGTGATGTCAATAAGGTGCTTTGTGTAAGAAGAACCACAGCAAAGGCGCCAGCATTGCAGATTGCATCACTTTGGATGCTAAAGTGTTATTTTTTCCTAGAATTGGCCCCAGCAGCTTCGTTAATTATCGAGAATATTTGGCATAAACCTAAGTTGAAAGGTCTGCTCTGTTCAGCGGAAAGGAGACAAACATCCAAAGGTTCTCAAACTGTGAAGCTGCTGAAAGGTAAACTAATTTATACCATCTTGAGTCTTTGGTTCCACAGCATGTCCTACACATGGAATGACCTATGAGGTGACTAGGATAAATACATGTTTTGGATAAGGTTCCCACTTCTAATCCAAGGCAGTTTCACAAATATGCCGGGCCATCTGGTCTGGCGATTAAGACTTAATAAGGGTTTAGCATGGGCTCTGCCAGGGTTCCAACCTCAGAACCACTACTTAACTACCTATGCCTCCGTTTCCAAATCTATAAAATGGGGAGGAAAAACTGCCTACCTTATAGGATTGCTGGAAGATGAAATAAGATGACCTCTGTAGAGCTCTTAATATGTGCCTGGCACACAGCAAATGCTCAAGAAGTGTTAGTCACAAGTGTACCCGATATACTTATTCAGTGAATTTCATCTGTTCATGGGAGTAATTCTCAATGCATGTATAAAAGTACTCCGTGTTCTGAAACCAATCAAGTCCGCCAGTACCTTCAAGGCTCCTCTCAGTCCTATTAGGCTCAAGTCCACAAACTCAGGTCATCTGAGAACTAACATATTTGGACGTTACTCTGGAACCAAATTCCAGCCACAGTATGCATGTTAACGTTCAAAAACCAGTGTGTTCAGGGCCTCCTAGTTCACCTACCAATGAAGGTCCCAAAGCTCTTAGACAAAAAGTCTTCTAGTCTACAAAACCTATCTTTCTCTTATTTATGGCCATAAATATACACCCACTCCGTTTTAATCCTTTTGAGCAATACATGAAGTGTAGAAGTTTTATTTTAGTCTAAAATGTGCACCCAGGTCTGAATGTGAGATGTTTGCACATCTGTTTCAAAGGGATACAGGACGTACTCACAATACAGTAGTCTTCTGTTTCACATGTTTAATCATTTGGAATATCTTTTATAACATATGCAAATAAATATTGTGAAATGACTTCATTCGCTCTTCTCTCCCCCATCCCTGTTCTCCCTGAAGATCCTGTGGCTGTAAAGAAAAAACCGTTTGGTTGCTCTTTTAAGGAATGTTCCTTTTAATGCTCACCCTGGGTAATCTCCAGTACAATGTGAGTTTTCAGAGCCTCTTTCCACAATCTCCTGGAGTCAGGCAAGGTGGGCTGAGCCTGAGGGCTAGACACTAAAGAAAGAAGCCACAAGCAAAATGCACGCTTCCTCTTCCTTCACCAAAAAATATTTTAGCAAATGGGCCCTTTTGAATGGCAGACAGGGAGTTCCTGATCCCATCAGCTGCATGAAGCAGATGCCCTAGGACCTGAGGCAAAGGACATTGATGTTCAAGGAGAAAGACCATCCAACCAGGATCTTTGTCATTCCCCTCAACTCACTTCTTCTAACACATAATACAGTCTCCTACAAAGCCTGCACATTTGAGCTAAACCTGGTGAGCTGGCATTGCCCGGACATGCCCCACCTGAGTGCCCTGGTTCATGGCCCTCTGCCTGTACCATGCCCTCAGACCCCCTCCTCCTTCCTACCCCTGCCTCCCTCTGCCCATCAAAACCCCACCTCCTCAAAGGAGACTTTTCTGCTTTTCCCTCTTTTTCCTGAATCTTTATAACACTTTATAACCACTTTTTCCTTAACATTTTCTGCCTCATATTATGGTAATTTGCATATTCTTCTTATACCTCATTCTGTAGCCTTCAAGGTATCTTGTTCATCTTTATTCCTCCTATAGTACCCAGTTTCTAAATACTTGATGAGCTGAAGCAATCTGTAGCTCTAGGTACATCCCCTCACATGTCACCTCTTGGATATGTCCACTTGGAATGCCCCACATGTTCAAACTAGAACTCACCTTCTTTCCAAGTCTAGTGTTTCTTATGACTCCTCCATTTCTATCAACAATACCACCCATTTATCCACTCAAGAGATACTGAATGCATGATATGTATCAGGTGCCAGAGATACAATGATAAAACAAGACATGATCCCTGGACTTACAGCCCTGTCTACAGCCCAGCATCCTCATCACTGTGATGCAAAATTACTTCCCACTTGCTACAATCTCTGGGCATGGTCTGTGTGGATTCTTCTTTGAACTGACTCTTATTTTCCCCCCATTTCCTTTCCTGCTGCATTCAAGGCCCCATCACCTTAGAGATGGCATTCAATAAATGCCATTAAACCAGCCCACGTACTTCTGGCCCCTCTTCCAATCTATTCTGAGCACTGCCACCAAATCAATAACCCTAAGATACTATGTTCCTTTGAAATTCTTTCAGTTTGAAGGGAAAAAAAAATCCTTAGCCACAATTCTAGGTTCCCCCATAACCTGGTTTCATATGTTCCTTAATTTCTCTATATGAACCCTCCTACTTGGCTTGATATGTCCAGAACACTATAGAATTCCAACCTGCCAGTTCTTTAGCACTCATTCCAGAACTTCCCTGACTACCTAGCCCATACTTTCCTGCGCTAGACCTGTTCCACGGGTGATCGCATCCATTTCCATGATTTTAAGCACCCTTTACATGTTGGTGACTCCCTAACTTATCTCCAGTCCCAAACTCCTTAGCTCTGGCTGTAGATAGATGTTTGCTCCTTTATGTCGTACAGGCTTCTCAGGCCCAAAATGAACTTGTAACCAACCTTTCACCATGAGCTTAATCTTCCTCCCATGCTCCTCACACTCAAATCCCGGCTGGCCCCTACAACTTTCACACCTGGTTGGTCACCAAGTCTATGGACAATTCCATATGTCTCTCTCAGATCTGTTTCCTTTGGCCCCATCCCACCATCATAGCCTTAGATCTAGATCCTCCTTGTCTTTCATCTGGAATCTTATGAGTATCCTAACTGGTTCCAGCCTCACCCCACCCCAATCTACGTCATCAGGATGATTTCTAAAACACAACTCTTGTCACTCGTGCGCCATCTCCCACCGCATCCTTCACCTTTGGAATTTATCCCTCCATCCCTTATTGAATTACTGTACTGCCCCTAATATACTAAGCTATTTCACATCTTTATGAATTGGCTCAAGATGCTACTTTGCCTACAATGCCCTCCTCACCTTATGTGCCAGATGACTGCTTCTGATCCTTCAACACCTGCCCAAGTGTGAACATGCCTCCCATGAAGCCCTGTCAACATCCTGCCCCATCCCCAGCAAAATTAAATACCATTTTCCTTAGTATTTCTTTTGTACTGATCTGGGATAGTATGTTAAACCATTTAAGGCAAGTTATGAGCTATTAACAATCAGGGACTTATCTAGCTGACGTTCATATCCCCAACTCCAAGCACAGCAGCTTACACATAACAGGTGTTCAGTTCCTATATGCTGAATTGAACTAAATGATCTTTCCCTTCTTCTGTTCCTAAGGTACTTCTCCGCACTGTGTATTTGACTCTTGCCACGTGCCATTGTCCATCTGTATGCCTTGTCTTGGCTAGGTCCTAAGGTCTTAAAATAGGCACTGTACGTACTTCTGGTATCCTTTCAATGATTTGCAAAAAATGTTTGATAATTATTTGTTGAAAGACTCTAAAAGGAATTTTTTGTATCTCTTGATTTAAAACCCCAGCAAGCTGTTAATTTCCTATCAAAACAAGTCTAAAAGTTCCTCATCCAGTCTTCAGGAACCTCTGTCATTTCACATCACCCTAAGTTATATTGCTCCATATTCTTCACCTATTGGACAGCAAGCTATAAGCTCATGAGAGCAGGGACTGTCTATCTTGCTTGCCTCTGTATACCCCAATCACAACTAAATGGTAGGTGCTTAA